TATTATATTATTATATTATTAGATTCTGATAAACACACCTATATGGCAACTTCGATCTTTGGGAACAGTGTACCACACTGAACAGTGTACCACACAGAGCTATTGGGAGGAAGGGAATGGAATCAATGAGGCACTTAACACGCATAAATAAAAATGTGACTGTATTTTCTGGGCTTGGTTTTAACCAGTATTTGTTGGGCATTTCCCCTTGTAAGCTGCCCTGAGTCCCTTCGGGAGATGGAGGTGGGGTATAAAAATAAAGTTGTTATTGATGTTGTTGTTGTTGTTGCTGTTGTTATTATTATTAAGCAGGTGGATAACATGGAATTTTCTCTATCAAAATAGGGATGAGATAGGAAAGAAAATATAATTATGGATGGGATTACCTTCTTACCTTCTGGTAATATAATTAGTATGATAATGCAGTAAAATGTATACATCAAGTTAAAGTTATTATAACTTTATTATAAAGTTATTATAATAAATGTTCAATTTTTAAGGTAAATCTAAGTAACGTAAGTAAGGAGTCTCTGAATATCTAAAGTAAACTCTGCAAATTTTTTTTTTTTGTATTTAATGAAAATTTGGGGCTTGTTTTCCATATTTTATTACATATTTTAGTTAGAACGAAAGTAGATTCCATCTCTGTAGCTTTAAGCAGCTCTATTGTTAGGCTATCTCTTTCTACACTGCCAAATAAAATCCAGATTATCTGCTTCGAACTGGATTATATGGCAGTGTAGATGCCGATAATCCAATTGAAAGCAGATAATGTGGATTATCTTCTTAGATAATCTGGGTTATATGACAATGTATAATGGGTCAAAGTGACCCTGTGTAAGTTGCATACACACAGCCCCTGGAAACCCTGTGATAGGTTTGTCTTAGGGTCACCATAAATCAGAAATGACATGAAGGAACACAACAACAGCAGACTGCCAAGCGCAGGATTTAAAAGCACAAAACCATTGAAGTTAAAATGGAATAGTAGCATTACAATTCTTCAGTGTGAATGGGTCCTTGATTCCAGAACAGAACCCACTTCTGTCCATACACAAGTTCCAAACTATACGACTTGTTAGTTGACTTCTGAACCATTTGAAATAGCCAAGTCACGATCAATGATCAATGATTGTTTTTCAATCGTTCTTCCAAGAATTACCTGGTGATATACTGCATTTGCCGTTAAATGTAATGTGAGGTGGTGGTAGTTGCAAAAAGGCTGTTGGGAAGTTGTGCCCCTCTGTCTGGCTGACAGTCTTTTCACGGCCATCACAGCTTCTCCCTCCTCTGTCCCCAACTGGGATCTATTGCCCAACACTGTAGATGGATTTAGGAGTGTGATTCTAATGTGCCATAGAATTTAATGCACAGCTCAATTTTAGCTATGTAATTAAGCCAAAAAAGGTGAAAATAAACTTAACTAAACATGGTGTTTTAACACATACACACACAAAGCAGAAAGATAACAGAGCATTGTCTACAATTTTTCAAGCACATTAACATTGCTGAAGGCCTACTCATCAGACTAACAAAATGTCTAAATTGATCAAGGAACCCCTTTTCTCCTACTCCGTTCCACCTCTCACCCTCACTTTCAAGAAAATAAAGTATCCAGGCAAATTATTTTGAATGCTTTCTTGTTAAGAGCCATTGAAAGAAACCCACTACTCAACCACTGCACTTTCACCCTGCTTTATGTTCACTGAATTTCTCCTGACAGTTGACTTTTTCATGTGCCAGAACCACAACAAAGGAAAGCCTTGAGTTTCCATACAGGCCATTCCCCCCTCCCGCCATCTCAACTCTGTTTCACTCTCTACTCTGATCATCTCACAAAGATATTATTGTTGCTGGCTCACCGGGGCTCAGTGCACCTGAAGCAGATCAAAGGCACACTTTTATGCCAGCCTGACCACACAGGTCTCTCTCCCACTGCATTAAATTAAACCTGATGATTCATCTGTATTGCCCTCAGGGTCCCTTGGTACAAAGAGAAGGAGAAATACATGTAGGGGAAAAAAGAGAGAGAAAATTTCTAACAAAAACATAGAGGATAATAAACTTACATTTTACAGCCCTAATTAAAAAAAGGTACAGTTAATTTCAACCAACTGCAGCTGCATATACATCTCATTAAAAAAGCACACACAATTGCCCTATGTCATCGGCACAGTATAAACAGGTACAGATAAAAGCGTGCTTCAACCAAAGGGTTTTCATACATTCATTCCATAAGCTTTGGATTTGCTAGTTGTTGGCTGATGAGGAAATTACATTGCCTTTGACAACAAAAATGGTAAGAAAAAATAAGTAGTTGTGTTTTGAAAATGAGGCAGATTTACAATGCAATCCTATATGTATTTTCACTTGGAAGTGTTAGTGGGTTTATTCCCAAGTATGCATACATGCATCACAATCTCAGTTCTCTATTAGGTAACAAAATGTGTAAACCTCTAAGTCAGTTTCTAGCCAATAGGAACATTTAGAGCATTACCATTATTTGTGCCAGGAACTTCACTCTTCTGTTGATTCTAGAATCTGATGTGAGCCAAAATTTACTAGCAATGATCATCACTATTGTCATCGTCTTTTTATTCTTATTCTACATCATAACAGGAAGATACATTGGTGTAGCACTTGACAGAGTATGCAGTTCTCTTTGCTTGTCTTCATTTTATCTTTCAATCCATACAACAATGATATAACATGAATTCTTTTGAGGCAGGGAGGTGATTTCAGGGTGCTGAAAGTATCTTGTCTAAAACCAACATTTGCTATACAGCATTTCTCTGAGCTTATTATAAACCTGAAAAACAAGCTTCCCATGCTTACTTTGCAAAACTGGGGGATTGGTGCCTTTTCATTTTTTGCAATTGTAGTTAGCTATAAACACAAAAAATATACATCGAGACAAGTTTTAACTGTACTTGAGCCACTTTTTTTCACATCTGGAGATTATATCTAAAAACAAAGAGCAAGGGCAAACTTTCCTATACTTTCAGCAACAAACTTTCCCAACCACGTTTATAATGCCAGTCAAATGAGGTCTCCTCTCTATCTCATCTGACAATGCTCCTGTTCTGGAAATGGGCAGCTGAGAAAAAAGTTGGATATAAAAAATGTATACAAGCGATAGACAGAGTCCATTTTATTGGATACAAGCAATAGATATTGAGTTGGGCTCATTTCAAACAAAGTCAGAGAGAAATTGCCTATTCCCACTGAAAATCACTGGGAAAAATGGAAATCAGACATTAAGATCATCTGGGGAGGTCCTGCTTTTGGTCCCACCTTCTTTGTAGGCATGACTGGTGGGGAAGAGAGATAGGGCCTTCTCAGTAGTGGCCCCTTGGCTGTGGAATTCCCTCCTCAGTGACATTAGATCAGCCCCCTCCCTCCTGGCCTTCAGAAGAATGTGAAAGCTTTGGGATCAAGCTTTCAGAGAATAGTGCAGTGCAATAACAGATATGGAATATGTGCAATGACTATGGAACAGCCTTGGACTACGATTATGGATCACATGGTTTTATACTAAATGCAATATTTTTAAATGTTTAATATGTATTAATTTTAATTTAATTTTAATTTTAAAGTTTATTGGATTTGTATGTGTTCTAAGGCATTGAATAATTGCCTATATGTCAGCTGCCTTGAGTCCCCTTCGGTGTTGAGAAAGGTGAGGTATAAATAGGGTAAATAAAGAAATATCTGGGTTCAACTTCCCATGAAATTATGCTTCTACATAGCTGACTTAAAATGCTTTGCTAAATAAATGAAAATGAATCAGCTGCATTGATTTTGCAAAAAGCACAGGACTACATTGCTGTGTTATTCATCTATTGTTGTATTGATCTATACCAGGGCTCTTTCCTCTGGCCCTCCTCTCTCTCACCATCATATACTTCCTTCTCCTTCTCCTTCCATCCTTCCCTTCCTCCCTTTCGTCCTTCCTTCCATCTCTCTTTCCTTCCTCCTTCTCTTCCTTCCTTCCATCACCGAGCAGCCAGTCCTCCTAGCAACAGGGAGTTCTAGCATGTGGCCCCCAAGTTAGAAAGTTTGCCCATGCCTGGTCCACACACACACACATTTACAATGCAAAGGGAAAAATTGTCAGCAACATTTGACAGATATCTCTTTGCAACATCTGTTATCCACTACATAAAAAAGACTGTTATCTAATACAGACATTATTTTGTGTTCAAACAACAAATGCAAAAAGTATAGTGTCATTTCTAAAAACAAAAACAGACCCAGCTACTACAAAAGTTCTTTATTTTGCTTAACTACTAATTCTCATAACTCCATTGTAACAATTCAGCCTACATAAGCAAGTTCACAGGTCTGAAATAAAAAAGACTAAAAAAGGTAGTCATGAAAATGGAATGCTTTCAGGCTTATACATTTTTAAAGAGGTATTAATTTTAAAAAGAGAGACACTAAATTTTAATTGCAATCCCAGGAAAAAGCTTTTCCTCTAATTCAGTGAGAAAAATTATCGAAGCAAAAACTGCTTATCCTGGCTCTTTTGGAGTCACAATGCATCTCGTAATTCTATAGATCATTAGAGCTTTCAGAGCAAGATGGATTTATATTGATTGAGCAAGAAGGTGGGAGAAATGAAGGTCTAAGGGGCTTTTTAAAAGACCCCAAGTACTCTGTTATACACAAGTGACATGCTCATCAGAGGTCACTCAAAGCCAAAGTCACAGGCTCCAATCTCATAAGGCCCAGTCAAAATGTCTGTAGTGTAATTTCTGGCTCGCTTTTTACATTTTGTGCCTTTTCCCTCTAGTATTGATTTCTACTATGAAAATGTTTCTTTATAGCAAATGCATCTGTGATATAATGCATTTCAGAAACTAATGATAAGAGTTACCACATAATACAAAAGACACAAGAGTTACAGGAAAGGAAATTTAAAAAGGTCTAAAAGGCTAGCTTTAAAAAAAACCCACTGATTTTATGTGATTTGCATGAAGGTACTGCTTGCAACTCACCCCCATGTGGCATGAAGATGTCCCACATATCACGGCAATTCGGGATGTAATTGGCTGGTTTTCGCATGGTAAGTTATATCCATTCACATTAGCTCCAATCATGCCTGATATAAGGGTATAAAACAAAGAGACCCAATTTTAAAGCAAAACCACATTATCTTCCATTGTAGAAAAATTGCCAGATGATGTTACTGCAGAGGTCAATTTCTCCTCTGCTCAAACACATTCCCACGCAACCCACTAATTAATCTGATGGAAACAGAGATGAGAACAAATGATACTAATCAGATTTCATGGCTGAAGAAAGGGCAGGCATGACTATGATAGCAGCAATCCTCAGAAATAACTAGAAAGCAGGCATAGCCAACTTGAGACTCTCTATATGTTATTAGGCTGCAAGTCCCAGAAGACCTAGTCACCAGACCTAACACATAGTGGTGAAATTGCATTCCAACATCTGGAAGATCATACTTTGGTGGCTTCATCAGCATATGCTGTGAAATTGAAGGATTTCTATGGACTGCTGATCTGTCCTCTGGCCCCTTCCAAGTTTCCACAGGCAGCTGGTAAGCCAATATAGGAAGTGAACTGAGATGGGCCTTTGAATTGATCCAGCAAGACTGAAACATTCCAGCCCATTTTTCTCCTAGCTATATGTAGGGGGGAGAATTGGTAGAAAACTGGTGTGGGTAGATGATTGATGACAACGAAAATGTCAGCATTCCATCTGCTTCCCAGTCTCCTGCTATTGCACTATGCATTTCAGTTTTCCCAGGATTGGTGAAGCAGTGTCAAGAGATTGCAGACAAAATCTGCCAGTTCCAAGTTGTGTTTTTCCCTAACAGTTTACTTCCATCATGGCTGGAGTGACTGCAGCCTTTCTTTCTTTGCTACCACTATTAATGTAGGTATAGCAATGCAGTACACTAATTGTCTCTGCATGGAGTTTCATTTCGAAATTACTGTGTTAAGCCCCCTTGAATAACACCATCAGTTAAAGTCAGTGCAGGTTGCAATCCTATACAATCAATATCTGCAACAATTCCCAGTGAATCCAGATGCAAATTGTTCTGCATGTTCCACTTAAATGTTTGGATGTTGAGTCAGTTACAACTAAAGTAATCCAATATGTTCAACAATATATGGTTACTCAGTTCAATTTGATGGCACAATGGGTTAAACCCTTGTGCCGGCTAACAGTTCAACTGAAAGGTTGGTGGTTTGAATCTGGGGAGTGGGGTAAGCTCCTGTCTGTCGAGCTCTAGCTTCCCATGAGGGGACATGAGAGAAGCCTCCCACAGGATGGTAAAATATCAAACATTCAGGTGTCCCCTGGGCAATGTCCTTGGAAATGGCCAATTCTCTCACACTAGAAGCGACTTGCAGTTTCTCAAGTTGCTCCTAACATGAAAAAAGTTCAATGTGATAAGGTTTAAAGTGTTTAAAGATCAATTTATTTTAGGACAATAACTTCTGAAACTGTGCAATAAGGAAAGCCATGTTAATGTCTAAGGCCTTTTTCTCAAGAACAACAAACCAAGTACTGTTTGAGCCATGTTTGATTTGATTTATTGTTGATTCACCCTTTTGCACCCTCTTTGGTTCAAGATCAAATTTGATTTTTTCAGTAATTGATTTCAAATGAAGTGATTTAGAACTAGAAATGTGGCTGAATTGTTTTGATCTCTACATTTTAACAAAGGCGGTGCCATGGTGTGGACAGCAGCGGGGTCAATACTTCTTTTAGACTCTCCCACAATGGACTAAACTCTCACCTTTTAACTCTCTACTTAGAGAAGGTTCCTTTTTATTAGAGTTAAGATACAGTACTTACAATGTCCTGTGTATAACGACCTAGGGTTTTAAGATTAATTTTCCGACTAAAATTTCTAGACTTATACATGAATGAATATATACAGTATTGAGCAGGTTTTCAGATGAATTGCTGCCTTCAAGTGTGAAATTGGAGAAGTAGTTTTGGAAATTTATTTTAGAACAGCTGTTTTATTCAGGCAAATGTGTTTTACAGTTAATTAATAAATTAGTGTCAATAATTTTAAAAATACTTTGGTACAGTTTACCATATAATACTGAAAAACAACGTCAAGATTAACACGTGGAAAGGAAAACAGCTAAGAAGATTTTTAGTAGCCATAGGCCTGGAACAGCATGTTCCATCTCTATAATATATACAAACAAAGTCTTTCTCTGGCCCATTGCCAAAACAGGCTAAGTTTGAAACTGGAATTGTACTGGATTATAAATGAAATGCACATTAAAATATTTAATGTGTCTATTATGAGGAGAGTATCAAATCTCTCGGGTCTACTGTAGGCAAATATTTTCATCCCTCAGGGCTTACAGTTCAAAACCTAAGTTCATATCTGGCATTTAAAATTGTGACCTCATTTGCACCAGCTTCACCGACTGTGGTTTCTCTGTATCCCTGAGTCTGCACTCATATAAACTCAACATAAATGTATAATAGTACAAAACACTGTCCTTTACTGAGGCTATGTTTGTCAGAAGATGCCAGGAATGAGGCATTTTATTAACGATCCCAATTTATATTAGTTTTAAACAAGAAATTTAGAACTCCACAGATTTGGACTCCATGTTTTGATAGCTGTTGCAAAAATACTAATTTTAACACTCAGATCCTGGCCTAAAAAACAAGAATCCAATCTTTATTTGTGAAGTTCAATTCTCACATGCTTTAAGAGAGAAGTTCTGAATAGTAGTGCCACTTTTATCATAAGCAGAAAGAGGGCCTTTGGTTTTTAAAGGGAAAATAAGGTTCAAATCCACACTTAGTCATGGAAATCAACTGGGTGATCTTGGACAAATCATATTCTGTCAGCCCCAGAGAAAGGCAATAGTAAACTCCCTCTGAACAAATGTTGCCAAGAAAATCCCATGAGAGGATGGACATAGGTCAGCATTGAAGTCACACAACAAGAACACATATTATCATAACAAATTGATACATCTATCCTAGGGCCCATCTACACAGCACCTAAAACATGCCATTTACTGAGTTAAAAAGGGGGGGGGGTAGCTACATGATGCTACCAGTAAATCCACACAGGTTCGCTGCAATGGAAAAAAAAACATGGGGTAAAAGGTCCCCTTTTATCCTGATTCTGCCAGAAAAGGCACATATTCACATCACTGTATATTCCTGAACTTGCAAAAATCACACAACTGCCTTCCCTCCCTGTGTGGAGACTGCTCCAGCACATGTCCACTTTTTAAAACCCAAAACAGTGAGGACGGCAGGGGACCCAATCCTGGGACTAACAGATTTGTGTGAAGGCCTACAGTCGGTTCCCGGGATTTTTTAACTCTCATTTAAAACCAACATTTTTGTGCTGTCTGCAAGTGCCCATAGTTCATAGATGCTTCAATTTCACTAGCAAATGGGGACATAGTTTGAGTATCCCTTATCTAAAATGCTTTGGAGCTAAGATCTTTTTGAATTTTGGAATACCTGTATTTGCATATACATAATAATATGATGGATCCTATGTTTAAACACAAACTCTATTTATGTTTCATATACATCTTATATCTACAATCTGGAGGTAATTTTACAAAATATTTGCAATAATGTGCATGAAACAAAGTTTGTGTACCCAGGACCATCTGAAAGCAAAGATATTATTATCTCAACCACTTCTGGATTTTGGAGCATTTTAGAAGTCTGAATAAGGGATGTTCAATCTGAAGAAAGCTATAGTTAGAGAGGCAATCAGAAAAAGTTGCTAATTGTTTCAGAAATCTTTTTTAATTTCCAAAAACATGCATCTTTCATATGTGATTTACCAAAATAAAACTCGTGACTCAAGAAAATCAGTCACCGCAGTCTAACTCTCCCTACTTTCCAAGTCAGAGATAAATTTCCATATAATCTTGGTAACATTTTTAAGGGTTCTATAATATGATGGCAAATTAACCTAGAATAAATAACAAAAAAGTTGGAAGAGACCATAAGGGCCATTCAGTCCAACCACCTTCCATGAAGGAAAACCCCATCAAAACACTCTGGAAATCCAGTCTCGGTTTATAAACCTCCAAATAAGAAGACTTCACAACATTCTGAAGTAGTGTAGTCCACTGTTGAAAAGGTTTTATCATCAAGACGTTTTACCCAATGTTTAGAGAGAACCTCTTTTTCTGTAGTGCATTCCAAGTGACGTCTGACCAAAACACTATAAAATGCTACTGTTACTTCCTTTGATCTAGACACCATACACTTACAGATGCAGCCTAGAATTGCATTTGCTTTTGTTTAGCTGCCACATCATACGGTTGACTCATGTACAACTTGTGGTCTACTGAGGCTCCTAAATGCCTTTTACATATACTGTGGCCAAGACAGGAGTCACCCATCCTATATCTGCATTTTATTTTTTCTACCTAAGTGTGGTACCTTACCTTTATTCCATTAGAAATTCATTTTGTTAATTTTGGCACAACTCTCTAATCTGTTAAGGTCATTTTAAATTTGATCGTCTCCTCTGCAGCATGAAGTACACCTGCTAATTTAGTGTCATCTGCAAATATAATAAAAATGCCCTTTATACCACTGGGTCCAGAACAGAACCTTGTGCTACCCCACTAGCCACTTCTTTCCGGGAGCTATCGGTGAGCACCCTTTGGCTTCAGTTATTCAATCAATTACAAATCCAATGAACATTATATAGTAGCATTATATAGCCCACATGTTACTAATGTGTATGGAAGAGTATCATAGATGACTGTGCCAATCAGAGGCAGCCCTCTGCCCCCCTCCCCAATTGGCTGAGCTTCAGGCAGCCTTCTTAAAGGCTGCTCAAGACTGCACCAAAATGTGAATTAAATACTGACGGCTAGTAAAAAAAAAAAAACTATACAATACCTATTCCACCAGCGTGTGCATCAATCAGAGAGGCAGCTACCGCAATTCCCTTAGAAAGGCCAAGATCCCTTGCAGCCTCTGCTGTTAGCCCATTTCCAACAGGAGCTCCTGGAGTGAGAACTTCATTTCCTGAGCAGACATAAAAGGAGAAAAGAGCAAACACTTATCATCATGTTGGAGAAAAATTCTGGCATAGGAGGGGTTGTGCTTGAAAGCAATGATCTGTCCTCTTCCTCCCTGAATCTAAACCTCCTTTTCATTATTTATCAAGTATGGACAATATGGCATTTTATTTTAAAACCCACACATGCTGTGAAATGCTAATCATAACAGTTTAGCTCCTTATATCAACAATGCAAATGCATTTAGCCAAGAATCGGATAAACACGGGTGCCTTATTTCTAAAGCTATATTTATATAGCTTCCAGTGACTGTAAGTGATGTTATAATGGTTTCAGTGCTTGTGTGGAAATTGCTACCATTATTCCTTCAGAAAAATCAATGTAATATTCTGTGGCCTTTAAAGCTAATCTGATATGAACTGAAAAGCTTTCACATGAATTCCCTATGGCCAAGGTCAAACTGATCTAGTGCACTTTCATACTTCACTATTACAGCACTATGATTTCACCTTAACTTTCATGCTTCTATTCTGTGGAATCCTGGGGTTTGTAGTTTGAGGAGACAGGAGAACTCTCTGTATGAAATTTGTGAGCAATCTTTCCTAAAATAGAAATCCTGGGATTCCATGTGACAGAACTGTAGTGGAATCATAGTGCTGTTTTTGGGCAACATGAAAAGGCTGTTGGGTATGAACAAAACAAAACAAGAACTGCAGAGAATGACACCAGCACTTTCCCCACAAAGCATGAAATGAATATTCTCCGCAATAATTGGGCATATTCCACACTATCAATCATTACATCTTCTGGTTAGAAGAAAAGAAATCAGAAAATATAATGTTTTTGTTTAATATGTTATAGAACTCTACTAGTCTGAGTTAGTATCATGAGCTACATAGCTAACTCATCTAAAGAAGTGTAAGGCTGTTTTACCTGCTTTTTTTTACAAACTAGCCAGTCAGTCTTTCTGACCATATACCAGTTCTCTCAGACATTATGACATGACAGTGAATGCCCCAATTTCACCTTACCCCAGCCATACTGAAGGTGGTGAAGGTGCATTTTATTTATTTATTTATTTATTTATTTATACGCTTGTATACCGCTAATATCTCAGCCTAAGTCGGCGACTCATTGCGGTTTACAACATTTAAAAAACAGTATTCAGTTTAAAAGCATAAAACACATATACAATACAAATTATTGGGCCACCAATAATAATCCCATGCATCTCATAACTGGAATCACAGTCCAAAATTCATCGTCCATGATTACCAATCCTTTAGTCATCAAAATTCGTTGCAACGGATTAACCGAATGCTTGTTTAAACATCCATGTCTTCAATCTATTCCGAAACACCATCAGCGAGGGGGCTGATCGTACCTCTATGGGGAGGGTGTTCCAAAGCCGAGGGGCCACCACAGAAAAGGCCCTGTCTCTCGTTCCCGCCAGCCGCACGTGTGAAGCCGGCGGGATAGAGAGCAGGGACTCCCAGAAGATCTTAGGGTCCTGGTGGGCTGATAGGCTGAGATACGTTCGGATAGATAAGTTGGGCCAGAACCGTTTAGGGCTTTAAAGGCCAACGCCAGCACTTTGAATTGAGCCCGGTAGCATATCGGCAGCCAGTGGAGCTGGTGCAGCAGAGGAGTTGTATGCTCCCTGCGCCCCGCTCCTGTTAGTATCATGGCTGCCGCCCGTTGGACTAATTGGAGCTTCCGGGCTGTCTTCAAAGGCAACCCCACGTAGAGAGCGTTGCAGTAGTCAAGACGGGATGTAACCAGAGCGTGGACTACCGTGGCCAAGTCAGACTTCCCAAGGTACGGGCGCAGTTGGCGCACAAGTTTTAACTGTGCGAATGCTCCCCTGGTCACCGCCGAAACCTGGGGTTCCAGCCTCAGCGATGAGTCCAGGATCACACCCAAACTGCGAACCTGCGTCTTCAGGGGGAGTGCGACCCCGTCTAACACAGGCTGTAACCCTATACCCTGTTCGGCCTTGCGACTAACCAGGAGTACCTCTGTCTTGTCTGGATTCAATTTCAATTTGTTCAATATTATATCATTTGGCCTTAAACTCCTGGCATTGAGTAAAAGCTGAGAATGTACTCTATTCATATAAGGACTGTCAAGAATTATGACTGTACAAGGATTTGAAATGGCATGCATTCTTGCATACTGATAAGCAGGTCTGATGTGGAAACAACAGATGTGTAGATGAGTCCAATGGATGATGATGATTATATTATTATTATTATTATTATTATTATTATTATTATTATTATTATTATCTTCTCATTTTGCTCCAAATAATGGTACTCAAAGAGTCTAGCATATATTCACAAACAATACAAACTTCATTAAGAGTATAAATGTTAAAGTTATTTTAAAAGCAATTAAAAATGTAAGCAGTGAAAACTTTAAAAACATTAAAATGAATTACAAGACTGCACACACTATAAAAACCCACAGGACATTATTACAATTCCATCCCATTCAGTTTTCAAGAATCTGGTAGCACAAGAATGTTTTCAGTTGCTGATGGAAAGAGAGCAAAGAGGGAGCTACCCTGGCTTCTCTAAGGAGAGAGTTCCAAAAAATCGTAAGATAAAGCAGCCACCGAGAAGACTCTCTTCCTTGTTCCCAACAAACAAGCCTGAGAAGGTGGTGGGACAGAAAGGTTTAGAAAAGTTTAGAACTCTAATGTTATTTAACATGTATGTGCATACACATACACAATATATTGCACCATCTCCACCCCATGATTTCATTATGCACCCAGAAAGAAAGATGAGAACAGAGGCAAAGATGGCAAGATTTCTAATGTTTTAGATAATAATGAAATAATAATAAAACTTTATTTTGATTCCGTCCTACCTCCCTGAGGGGACTCTGGGCGGATTCCAACATAACAGTGGTCAACATTCAATGCCTACATAAAACATACAATACTAACATAAAATTCCAAAAAAAAAAAAAACCCCTACATATAAAAGTAACATTAAACCCTAACATCAAATTAAGACCTAACATGAATAAATTAAACGTGACATCAATAAATTAAACCACATGTAATCAGACAAAATTCTATAATAACATAAATCTAAACAAAACATCCACATTAGGTGACAGTGGATAAGAAACAAAGCTGTAATAAACAAAGTGTGCCATGCAGAGACATACATGTTTTAGGAGATAAGAATAAATTCACCATAAAAACAAATCTCTGGTTTAGTTGGCTGTTCTAATAGTTTAATCATGAGGATACAATAAGGATATCTTGTTTTAAATATATAGAAAAATCTTAAAATAAAGAACTTTCTGTTCACATTCATAAAGCTGTCTGAGAAAAGGAGAGCCTGTCCTACAGCATAGCTTTCATTCATGGCACCTTTACTGTGAAGCGAGAAGCAAGTTTACTAAAGGAAAAAGCTGTCTGAAACTTTTCCTTCCTTTTTATCCTTTCCTAAAGACAAGCTATGGAATGTGCTATGCTCATGGTTTGTTTAAATACATGTATGCAGTACCAATGACCCAGGCAGTTGCCATGGCTGCCAGTATTTACCAGACGTAACACATGAAACGGACAACAAGACATATTTAGTCAATCTGAATAAGTAATTCACAGGTTCCAAAGTCATAGTAATATTTAATAGAATGAGACATCTTAGTATTCACTAGCCTTTACATATAACAAAAGAAAAACCTAAGAAAGAAATTCAGCTGACTCAGCTATGACACATGCACTAATTCAAGAGTTGCTTTTAACCTATTATGAAAAACCAGTTGTATTTTATGTGGAACATTAATTGCCTGCATTTCAAATACAGAGAGGAAAATAGAGTTAATGTTATGTTTCTTGCTTAAACCCAGAAAAGAATAATTCCAACCTGGCAAGAATCTTTGCACTTTAGGACATATTCTGCACAAAATGGGCATGTGGTAATTTTGCACAGAAAGAACATTTTACGCATAGAAAATACTATTTCAATATAGAAATATTAGCATTTTATGCAGAAAAGTTGTAATTTGTGATTTGTGTATACAATCTTCATATAGATCATTTGCATAGAAATGGCTTTTTCTTGGTAGAAATTGTTTCTGCATTCCAATATTATTTTCAATACTGAAAATGCTGTGTTCTGTGAAAAAGAAAATTGCTTCTTACACAAAAAATCATGTGAGAATTTTGTACAGAATAAATCCCAAACTGCAAATAGCATTTTTAAGAAGATTTACACCACCACAAAGGGGGCCATAAGGACACTGAAGAAGGAAATGTGTTTGGGGGGGGGGGGGAGAGAAAACACTGTACTGCAATTATTTGACACATTTGTTTTCTAGATTCTCCATGAAGAGGCATAGGAATTCTTGAGAAAAGGAGTAAACATAGAAAAAATAGTGGTCAACTACATTGGTTAGCTTGAGAAGAACTCACTTTAAGAACTGGTTAACAAAACTGTCGTCCCCCCCCCCCCCCAAGTACAGTTCTCTCAATAATGTAGATTATGTCTGGAATTTTCTTTAATAGTTATGGTAGAAAGTTAGGGAGAAGTTGTTTTGAAAGTTCCTTAATTTAAATATCCAAAATAAAACTCAAAACAGTCGATTCTGTCCAGTTAGTCAATTACAAGAAGTTGTTCAGATAATCTGTTAGGTCTTTATATAAGAGAAATATTCTTCTCTGATCTATAAGGGAGCAACACAAATGGCCTTCAAATATATCATAGTCTCATTTTGTTCCCAGAAATATTCCTCATCAATTCTTTGTTGAGATAACTTTCACTGCACATAATATCAATTTTTCTTATTTTCTCTGTTCTTTATACAAGAATCAGGCATTTAGCCTGGGGATGAGGGGGCTTGAGGGGCTTCTCAGAGTGGTCCACGAGAAGGCCTTACTGGTACATTATTTAAACTGTTATGTTTATTCATATCATGATCTGATTACCATGATCAATATATCCCATATGCATGGAGGTATTGGGATAATGATACAAAAGTTTTGCT